ATATATATATATATATATAAAGGGCTGTAATAAAATAAAGAAAAATAACAAGAGTTACGAGCTACGAATGAATGTCTGTGGGAGATCTGATAGCGCGTTCTGTCCTTGTTCTGGCTTTATAAAATGCTGTATGAAAGTGAATAGGGGAACTTTCACGGAGGATTCTAGTTTTATTGTTATTCGATGGGATATCAGCAAAGTACAAAGTGGACCGTGACTAAGGTAATAGGCGTAAAAATGTGTAAGTGGACAGGATGTAAGAAAAGGTCACTTTATGTAATTAGGTGAGAGTGTGAACTTTCGAATAGCACCAAGAGGGTACACAATAGAATACATTTGAACAGGATTTATAAGGAATTTAAAAAGAATGGAAAAGTGAAAGCAAAGCTATAAGTTAAAAAATACACCAAAGAAAAGTGAAATCTGAAAAGTACGAAAAAAACACTATTGAGAAGGGTATATAAAAGAAACAGTTTAGACGTAGGTAATTGGAAATGAAAATGAGATCTTTAATAAGTGTGAAAAAGGGTGTAAAAGAAGTAAAAGTTAGAATCGAAGATTCCAAAAATATACATGATAGAATTAGATACGAAAGATAAAGGTATACACAAAAAGACAAACTGATTCGGAAAGCAGAAACGCATCTATACAATAAATTAGTTTTGGAATATAAAAAATACAAAATATAAAAGACTGACAGGGGCGACTGGGGCAGTAAATGTCACAATCCCTTTAGGAGATGGACTTCCAAATTACTAATTATAAACAATTATTTAATCAAAAATTACATCCCCAATAAAATTTTGTCTTGGAACTAGCCAGTAATGTCAAATGTTTGATGTAATTGATGCTAAATATTTTATTTTAAGATAGTAGTTTATTATGTAATAACTTCATTAAGTTTTCCGTATTAATTACAAGTCGATTTAATAAGTTCATCATTGCCACAGCAGATATTTAGTTAAAATGTCTAATCCACTCCTATTGTTCTCTTATCGTATGAATCAAAGCACTCTAAATATTTTAAGTGCACGTTTTAAATTAGATACAGTTTTATCGAAAGATGAATCATGCAATTTAATAACTACTACCTTTATAAAATACTACAAATGGCGCGGTAAACGCCATCTGTAGTACAATGCTACATTTTAGGATTACGTATGCTCTAACAAGGTAAATTTAAATATATGGATATCTACTTGCTGAAACGAATCCCGGCGTAGCTAACCACTACGTGATAGGCACATTACCATAATCGAATAAAATAATTCGAAGTGGTCTGTATTCTGTCGAAACTGCCAGACGCGGAATCTCATCAGCGCGTCGCAGACAGCTTCGACAGAACACATACCAATTTTTACCTTCTGTCTTAACAGCGCATTTTATAAAATACCACAAATGACGCACACAGCAGGTAAAAATTGCTCTGTGTTCCATCGAAGCTGTCTGTGACGCGCGGATGAGATCCAAGAAGATCGAAATCGCGATCCGCGTCTGGCAGTTTCGACAGATTACCGACCACTTCGAATTATTTTATACTACTACCTTTAATTTCTTAAAAACAGAAAATTAGTAGGTGGAAGTCAAAATTTTAACCTGAATCGAGAGATTCTTAAAAGAAGGCATTTTCAAGTATTTGACTTTCGATAATATCTTGTATTTCACATTTTTGTCGCAACACTCACATTCTGAGTAATTTCCATATTTCCCATGACAGGCTCGACTGCCAAACTGCTGCCATCGACAACAACATTGGCAAGATAATAGCCAGAGCCGCCTCTTAGCAAGTTAGTTGATCTGATACCAGGATCAACACGAGAATTGTAATAAAGTGCACTGATCTGCCCCCTTGTTTTGTTAATAGTCATTGACAGCTTTTCGTTTTCAAGTACCACGTTGGCACCGTCGGTGACACACAAACGTTGGAACGATAGTGTGCTACATTGTTGGCCTTAACAATAGATTGGTTTAGTTAGATGCAATATTACTAAGAAGAAATAGGTAAAATTAAATTCAAAATGTTTTAATTCAAGTATATGAACGCTAAAGTTACTTAATTTAATTAAAGACCGTTATCTATTACTTGGAGCATCTCAAAAAAAAAATTGAGAAAACATTTTCGCACCTTTTAACCGAAGTCTAACCTAACTTAATTTCAAATTGTATTCTTTTAAATTCACATTTACAAAACATAATCACATACAATCATAGTATTTATCAAGTTATAGTAACTTACGCAAGTAGTAAAATATTAGATGAGGTTGTCAAACAGTTTAACTGCTTATGCTCTAAACTGTAAATTCGTTTCTCATACATTTTGTTATGAATAACAGACTTACATGCGTTAATTCTTATTTATTGTTTTACAATATAAGAATATCACTGAGCTAGAGATTAACTATGCTTACAATCAGTTTATTAATGACTTATAAAAGGCTTACCTGACGAACTATGAATTAGCAGCAGAGCTAAACTCGCTATTAGGCATTTGGACATTTTCAACAAAATAATTACCGAGAATTCTATCTTCAATATATTTATGTATTGAATGTGAAGATCGGCTTGTCTGATAACAATTTATTAAATAATAAGTACTTGATTTAATCTGAAAAACGATAATATTGATCTTGGTAGGAAAGCATACTAAAATCACGAAACCTCCAAACCACCAAATTTTTGTTAATTCCTATTTTTAATAATTTTGTTAAAACCGCTGAAAACACTAAAATTGATTTATTTACCTGTAGACTATACCTTCCGATTGTTTTAATTGATCCAAGAATTTATGTACGAACCTTTTTTAATTAATTAATTCAAAACTGATTAACATATCCGACCTAATGTTTAAGCAAAATTATTTTACTTAATAAATACCAATACATTTGTTTCAAACGAAGGTCAGGTATGGGGATTTTTATTTTTTTTCAAACTTATGATGCTTGAAAGTTTTAACGTAATTAAAAAAAAAGGATGATCGGATAGTAAAAATATAATTAAAGCACACAATACTGAGGTGCCACTTTGCAAAAGCAAAGAACCAAAAGATAATTATAAAAAATTTATCTCGAGAGACCAAGTCAGGGGTTCCTGGGTTTCCTTTAATAAAAGAGAGGAGCTCGAAGCTCTCTAACGGTAAAATAGCCAATTTATAAGCACCAAGTAAAAATTTATTTAACAATACAAGCGTTCCAAAAAACGAATCTTTACAATGAGGGGATCAGTAGCTGGCTTCCGCCAGATTCGAGTAATGTTGTAGACTTTTTTCGATGCACGCGGCTGGCGGCCTATGTACTAACGTGGTCAGTGTTTCTGAGGGTGGTAGGCAAATGAAATTACAAATTAAAAATGCTTTGTTTTGTAGCACGTGGTTTCGAATCCGGAGAAAGATAAAAAGCCTGGTCTACAGCCAATTTGCTCACGGGAACCAAAAGGTCTTCAAAAGCTCGTTATCTGGAGGACTCTGAGACAAGGAGTGACCGATCCTCTTCGAGCTCCTAATCTAAATGAAACCCTAACTGGGTCAACTTAACACAATACAAGGAATGACAATTACTTAAAAATACTAAATACATCGTTACAAAAACCTTGAATAAAAAAATTAACGTTACTCATTTAAAGTTATTAAGAATGTGTCCATGCTCTTTTGTTTCGTTTTTGAAATAAAACGCTGCAAACGATTCGTTAAGTTTAAAAAAATGTATATTTAGTGATTTTAATACGTTACAGCTCGATTGGCAATTCCAAGGTGACTAAACTAAGTGAAAGAAATATAAATTAATGTATGCATTTGTGCGCAACATCAGGTTCTTTGTGCGTATCATGATTTACACCTTAGCGAAATAGTCTAAACATAAACATCCGCCGTGAGTCCAGTCTTGTTGCTAAATTACTGTTATAGTTTGCACATATCCTCCTGTGGCGATACACACAAAGTATTGCAATGGTTACGAATAAACAATAGTCATACTAATTACTTATTACTTTTTACTTTTAACTTGCGTTACCTCGTGGAAATAAAATCTTTATCCGTTTACATCACGCTTTATTTTTAACTCGTTTTTTTCGAAACCCATAAATTTGGTGACCCCGACGTGATTGCGAAACGGTACCGCGTGATATTTTTTTTTCCGGTAAACTCAGTTTTCGGTGTTTTACGGATTTCGAAAAAAAAACGGACCTACACGCTACAAACGACACGACTATGGTGACTTCCGTTTTAACGACAGCTTCTTCAACATGCCTAACGACGAAAAGTCCAACGAGCAGCAGGCCAATGACAACCACGTGGCCGCGATAAACGTCGTCAAACTTCCATGACCGCTATGGCGACAAAATCCAGCCAGATACTTCACCGTCGTAGAGAACACTTTCCTACTCCACAAGATAACCTCAGACACGACGAAGTACAGGCACGTGATCAACACCTTGGAGCCGGACCTCATCGACCTCGTGGGCGACATCATCGAAGATGGTAAGTACGAATCGCTCAAAACCCGGTTGATCAACATACTTGCAGACTCCGCGGAAACGAGGATGAAGAAACTTCTCCGTGGCCAACCGATGGGAGACACGAAACCAAGCGTGTACATCCAGAAAATGCGAAGTCTGGCTGGCGGAAGATGTGACGACGCCATCCTGAGACCACTCTTCTTGGAGCAACTCCCTGAGCAAGTACAATCCATCCTGGCTGTGAGCAAGAACACCGACCTGTCCGAGATAGCGGATCGTATCATGGGCACGATTCGACCATCGATAGCGGCAGTTCACGTGGCGCATCGCTCGACGTCCGTCTCTCCAGATATACCAAGGACCACTTTCGCCGGAGGCCTACGACCTTGGTCAGATCATGCTAGCGATCAACCAACTACGCAGCGACTTTGAGGCTTCGAAGAAGCGCGATTCACGCTCTCGAGGTCGGCCACGCGGACGCAGCGTCAACAGACCAAGGGATGGAGCGAATTCTGAAACAGTCGAACCAGAGGTATGCTATTATCATAAGAAGTTTGGTAAAGAGGCGTACCATTGCAGGACACCATGTGCTTGGAAGCCGCAGGGAAACTAACGAATCCGGTGTGCATCGAGGCAGCCACCGGAGACGTCCCCAAACCAAAACGCCTCCTCATGACCGACCACAAGACGAACACCAGTTTCCTGATCGAAACGGGCGCTGACGTATCCACGCTACCAAAGCGATACGCCGGCCCAAATAAGCGCACCAACAGGGTACTCTACGCCGCTAACAAGACTGAGATCCCGACGTTCGGAGAACGAAGACTCACGGTCGATTTCAGTCTACGTCGACCATTCGAGTGGACTTTCGTAGTGGCAGACGTATCCCAGCCGATCATCGGAAACGACTTTCTCTACGAATATGGTCTCCTGGTGGACATCCGGAACATACGCCTCACGGACAGCGTGACCCACTTGGCGAGGACTTGAAAGGTAACCGTCACGAATGCCCCGACGCTCAGTACCATCAACACCTCCGCAGAATACTACGACATCCTCCGCAAGCACGTTGAAGTCACACGACATGCGAGGTTCAGGGAGCCCAAGCACCACGTTCGACACTACATCACCATCCGCGGCCCACCTTGCACTGCAAGAGCTCAACGACTCTCTCCCGAGTGATACAAGGCCGCCGAAGAGATCATCCGAGTTTGGTTAGCCGAAGGGGTCCTAAATCCCTCCGGTAGTCCATACGCCAGCGCAATCCTCCTACGAAAAAAGAAGGACGGGAGCTGGAGACTATGCGGTGATTATCGGTCACTCAATGCGATGACCGTCCCAGACAAATATCCAATCCCAAACATCCAGGACTTCGCACACAAGCTCCACAGATGCAACGTCTTCTCGACACTGGATCTGGAACGAGCATATTTCAACATCCCAATGAGCAATGAGGACCGAGAGAAAACTGCCATAATTACACCTTTTGGCTTGTACGAGTTCAACGTGATGCCTTTTGGTCTCAAGAACGCCGGACAGTCATTTCAAAGGTTTATGGACACCGCTCTCAGGGGACTCGATTTCGTCTTCTGCTACATCGACGACATAATAGTGGCATCCAAGGACGAAGCAGAACATCGCAAACACGTGGACATCCTGCTGGAACGCCTTGAACTCTACGGTCTCACCCTAAAAACGAGCAAATGTACATGGGGTAAACCAATAGTAGAGTATCTAGGGCACCAAGCAGACGCACACGGCATCAAACCATTGCCACAGCATGTAACTGCCATACAAGAGTTTCCGAAGCCGAGCAACATCGCGGAGCTCCGGAGATTCTTGGGAATGTTGAATTTCTACAGAAGATTAATCCCCCACGCAGCCGAGCCACAGGCGTGCCTGCACAAGATCACCGCTGGCGCCAAGAAGAAGGACAAACGGCCTATCGAATGAACCCTAGCGACCGAAGCGGCATTCGCCAAATGCAAGAAACAACTAGCCGAAGCCACGCTCCTCGCACACCCCGCTAAAAACGCCAAGCTGGTACTCGTCACCGACGCATCCGACACGGCTATGGGCGTCGTTCTTGAACAAGTGATAAATGGTCAACGACAACCACTCGGTTTCTTTTCCAGGAAGTTCTCGCCAACGCAGACCCGCTACAGACAGCAGCGCCACTTGAATTACATCGGACAACACACCACAAATATCCAACACATCGCTATCCTCGAAAACGACGTGGCCGACACTCTATCCAGAGTCAACGCTGTCGATATGCCAATCATCATCACGACTGAAGAGATCTGCCGCGAGCAGAGCCAGAACCAGGAACTCCAAGAGCTAATCCGAGAACCTAGGTCCCTGGTACTCAAACAACTGAGAGTCAACGACACACCGACGGAAATCTCGATCGACAGGCTCAAACCCGCCTTCATCGAGAACGAAGCCGCGACAACGCCAGAAGCAGGCGAACACTCCAGCGCAGGCCATAGGACGTACCCGGGTCCATGGACCAGACATGTTACCTTCGCTCCTCAACCTGGTCGCTCGAGGGGGAGTACTGTGGCGATACACACAAAAACAACCGGAAGTATTGCTATGGTTACGAATAAACAATAGTCTTACTAATTACTTATTACTTTTTACTTTTAACTTGAGTTACCTCGTGGAAATAAAATCTTAATCCGTTTACATCACGCTTTATTTTTAACTCGTTTTTTTCCAAACCCATACTCCCACCCCCACTATTGACACCTAAAGGTGAATTGATACACACTTTCACACCCCACTGCGGCACTTATTATAACACAACGGGGAGAATGGCTAGCTTTCTCAATAACCTCCTATATATTCCTTGGCTAGTCCTGACATCGACAACCATGACAATGCCATTGTGACCCTGGAGCAATTCCTCAATGCGCTCGATCTTCCACTGAAGCGGGTGCNAACGCCTTGAACTCTACGGTCTCACCCTAAAAACGAGCAAATGTACATGGGGTAAACCAATAGTAGAGTATCTAGGGCACCAAGCAGACGCACACGGCATCAAACCATTGCCACAGCATGTAACTGCCATACAAGAGTTTCCGAAGCCGAGCAACATCGCGGAGCTCCGGAGATTCTTGGGAATGTTGAATTTCTACAGAAGATTAATCCCCCACGCAGCCGAGCCACAGGCGTGCCTGCACAAGATCACCGCTGGCGCCAAGAAGAAGGACAAACGGCCTATCGAATGAACCCTAGCGACCGAAGCGGCATTCGCCAAATGCAAGAAACAACTAGCCGAAGCCACGCTCCTCGCACACCCCGCTAAAAACGCCAAGCTGGTACTCGTCACCGACGCATCCGACACGGCTATGGGCGTCGTTCTTGAACAAGTGATAAATGGTCAACGACAACCACTCGGTTTCTTTTCCAGGAAGTTCTCGCCAACGCAGACCCGCTACAGACAGCAGCGCCACTTGAATTACATCGGACAACACACCACAAATATCCAACACATCGCTATCCTCGAAAACGACGTGGCCGACACTCTATCCAGAGTCAACGCTGTCGATATGCCAATCATCATCACGACTGAAGAGATCTGCCGCGAGCAGAGCCAGAACCAGGAACTCCAAGAGCTAATCCGAGAACCTAGGTCCCTGGTACTCAAACAACTGAGAGTCAACGACACACCGACGGAAATCTCGATCGACAGGCTCAAACCCGCCTTCATCGAGAACGAAGCCGCGACAACGCCAGAAGCAGGCGAACACTCCAGCGCAGGCCATAGGACGTACCCGGGTCCATGGACCAGACATGTTACCTTCGCTCCTCAACCTGGTCGCTCGAGGGGGAGTACTGTGGCGATACACACAAAAACAACCGGAAGTATTGCTATGGTTACGAATAAACAATAGTCTTACTAATTACTTATTACTTTTTACTTTTAACTTGAGTTACCTCGTGGAAATAAAATCTTAATCCGTTTACATCACGCTTTATTTTTAACTCGTTTTTTTCCAAACCCATACTCCCACCCCCACTATTGACACCTAAAGGTGAATTGATACACACTTTCACACCCCACTGCGGCACTTATTATAACACAACGGGGAGAATGGCTAGCTTTCTCAATAACCTCCTATATATTCCTTGGCTAGTCCTGACATCGACAACCATGACAATGCCATTGTGACCCTGGAGCAATTCCTCAATGCGCTCGATCTTCCACTGAAGCGGGTGCGTATCCTCCTCGTAAATGAGGACAAGATCCCCTCGCTGGACTGGTTTTTGACCTCCGGTCTGACCATTTTGGATGTGATTGCATCAAATTAAGGACTTCCCGTCGCCATCTCTTCCAGAAATGCTGCTTAATTTGATCTACTCGTTGCCATCGATTCAGCCGATTCTCTGATTGGTTCGTGTAATCGTATTCTGACACCATTTTGGGCGTGATTGCATCAAATTAAGGACTTCCCGGCGTCATCTCTTTCAGAAATGCGGTTTAATTTTATGCATTCGCTGCCATCGATTTAGACGGTTCGAGTAATCGTATTCGGAAAGAATTTGAAAGGGTTCGCCGATCAGAAAATGAGAGGGAGTTAAGGCCTGAAGATCCGATGGGTCTTGGGATAAAGGCAAGAGGGAGAGCGTGAATTAATAACTGTCTCAATTTAGATAATTAGTGTAATTGCTTCGTCATATGTTAAATTCGCGTTCATGGTTATTCTCTTCAAGTGTTCCTTAGTTGAACGAACCAAACGTTCCCAGAGTCGGCTGAAGTTGAGAGATCTGAGTGGAATAAAGTTCCATTGTATTCCAGAACCCGAAGCGTAATCAAGAACATTTTGAAATTCACATTTCTTATAAAATTCTTGAATTTCCCCAATTTCCCGTTTTACCCCAACAAAGGTCTTAGCATTGTTGCAGAATATTAGCGCAACTCTACCACAATCGGGATATAAGCCTTTTTAAGGCGTTAATAAAGCATTTCAATGTTAAGTCGTTTACCAGCTCTGGATGAATTGCCCTGATAACCATACAAACAAATAGAGCAACCCATACCTTTGTTTTCTTTGTACTTCGTTTACCGCCCTGTTTTACCAAAATAGACCCCAAATAATCAACACCTATTTTAAGAAATGGTTTTGTAGGGTTCTAACCGAGCCTCCGGGTAATCACCCATTTTTTGTTCCATTAATTTTGGGGGACTTTTAAAACAGGTAATGCAGGATTGGACAATTTTCCTGAATTCACTCCCCGATTGGCGAATATTTACATCTAAAGAACGCCAAAATTTGATTTGGCCCAAAATGAATAAAGAAATATGTTCTAATTTGATAAGCAAACGTGCAACATGATTCTTTACCGGTAACACAATTGGACATTTTCCTTCAAAATCTATCGATGCATGTCGCAACCTACCACCGACCCGTAGAAGGCACAAA